GAAAAGTATCGTTGTAAATATCCATTTTATCGAAAAATGTTTTAAATAAGTCGAAATAAGTTATTTGATATTTAATTTCTCATCACATGGATTTTTAAATTTTTAATGACAAGCAATTCTTTTATTTACTAGAGCATTTTATATTAAAACATGTGAATTGCATCGGAAAAATTTTGAAAAAAACGCAAAAAACTGTGCATAGATTTCAACAACGTTCAAGAATGCTCATTAATCTAGTCACACATAACCGTGTGAACTGAACTGAACGTACATACCTCTTACTCCTTTCACCATATCGTTTACAAAAATCGACCAGTTTTTGGGTGTCAAAACATTCATTTTTCCGAGTTTAAGGGGGTGCAAATTTTCGTTAGGCTTATTAATTTGCCTACTTTATCAATCGCAACTCAAATGAAAAACAGTAAAATAGCTTACATACACTGAGTCTTTTGCATTTGAGTGGTATGAATGTGGAGGTGTGCTGTCAACAAGCTTTTCTTGAAAACAATTTCCATCAAAAATTATTAAACAAAATTCGTTATTGTCAACTTCGAACATTTTATTTTGCTAGATAAATCATAATAAACAAAACACATTTAGCCTATAAATCGGATTAAATCACATCGGGAGAAATATTTATGTCGCTAACATCACTAAATTGTTAGTTTTGTGGGCAATTAATTGTTGGGCAGCAATCGGGGTATGGTTTACTGAGATTTTCACGCCTGACGATACACGGCGGCTTGGCATCAACGACTCCGCATCTAGAAAGTCATTTGTGATACTACCATGACTTAAAACATTATATTAATAGTGAATTACCCGTGTGTTGTTACGATTCCATGTCCACATGTTGCTTCTGCACATGTATTTGGATGTAATGATACGGACTCTCCAACTCTAAATTTTCCAACTTTCTCATACAAACAAACTTCTGGGTCCTCTGAAATCCACATTAGTACGTGTAATTATAATTAAAAAACGCATTTTCTTTTCAATTACCTGGATCCATCTCTACATGTGCCCTGGAGGTCCATCCGTGCGCCATAAGGCAGATACCGAATATGAATAACAAAATTGCTAATAATTTCATTTTGATAGATTGTTCTGTGTACTTCTTCTAAGATAGTGTGAAACAAACTGATCAACAAGTATAAGTACGTACACTTCTTATATTCAGAACAGATCTGATAACCTCTCGTATGTTTTTTTGAACCAGAATTAAGAGATTTCATTGCTTAGGTAATATGTACATATCAAGGACATTAAAAATTAAACGATAATAAAGAGTGCTTAATAATAACTGCATAGATTAAGTAATTTGTAATTAAGCATAGTGTTCTAGGGTAGGTTTTTTACCTAAGATAGGTAGGTACAGGGTGTAAATCGAAAAGTGGAACATAGGCGTTTAACATGGGAAATTACTTTTTTTTGCGCAAACGTTTCCTAATTATTTTACGCAAAAATACTTCAAATAAAAGTTATAGAGATATAAATTCTGCATCTAAGTCATGTGAAACGATTATTCTACCTCTTCTTATACGCGAAAAAATTAATTATAAAGATTCTGTTTCACGAGTTTTTAGTCTAAGTAGCCATGGACTATGATAAAAGATAGTCCATGGCTACTTAGACTAAAAACTCGTGAAAACAGAATCTTTATAATTACTTTTTAATATTGAAGTTTAAGCTTTTTCGTTTCGTTTCTTTCTTATACGGTGTAATACAGCCCGGTGACCAGAACGACAAAAGTTTATTTGGACTGGTCACTTCCTTCCCGAGTTATTACTGATCTGCGCTTTCGTCGGACGCGTGCGGCCACGTTTTTAACTTGTTACTAATTGTTTGATCTTGGCAATTCCTATACATTTTATGGAGAAGTTGCTGTTTGGTAATTATTTTCATTGGAAATTAGTCATAGTTCTTCTTCTTCATTGTTTTTTTTTCTTTGGCCATCATCTGTTGCGCACGCTGCTAGTTAAACTCAACATCTTTGTTCCATTATCTGGCTATCTATACCTATGTAGGTATAGCATTTCGCTTCCTCTTCCTCTTGATAATGTTCCAATTCTTTTCGATTGGCTGCGTTATCATGGTACTACTCAAGTATCTGCTGACTGTAGTGGCAGTTTCGCAAATCTGGCCAAACTTTCACAGGGCCCTAATGAACGATACAATGCATTTTGCCAGCGACACTCTTGTTTGTACGCCTTCGACTCCATTGTCTTGTTCGTGACGAAAACCTTGGAGAAGTTTTTGTGCAAATTTACCTATCTACGGAAATAAACAAATTTGGCGCGAACATCACCACGTGCTGTAGCCAAATAAAATTTTAGCCCAAAATCCATCTTCACGTATGTTTCATGGTCCATGAGCAAGTATTCCTTGCAGTTCGTCAGAACTGGATCTTATAACTTCCGAGTGAATGTGTTCTAGCCATTAAGTTCACTTTAAGCGTCTTGTTGGTTTACTTGCCGTGACGAAACGAACGGTACCCTCCTTGGAGACAGAATTTAGCTCTTACTAGGTACCTTTCAATCTTTCAATTTAGCTACCGATCGTATGTTCCAACACACCGCCTACCCTGATCTATTCGGACCACGCTTATCCGTTCATCGAAATACCCTATAAATTTGTCTAATTTAAGCGTTGTCGTGATTTTTATTATTTATTTATAATAATATAAAGTTATGCTAAGTAAATGCGAACATGCAATGCAAGAATTGATTGCTATTGAAAATTGTTCTTGAATTTTAATCCACATGTAGGTATCAAGTTTCGTCGAAATCAGATTTTGGGGTAGGAAAAATCAATGAAATATTTTTTTGTTTTCGAATAGTTTTTTCCATCTCACATAATAAAAATTAAACATAATAATCCAAATACGGGTCCTAACCAGTACCGACCTAATAGTAATAACAGACTCCCATTCTCATTTGTAGACTAGACCATGGCCTTATTAAATTTTTGTTAAATTGTCTTAATGAATATTGACTTTATTGGTACCACTGGAAAGCATTTTTCAGTAGCTTTCCAACGATATGTCACAAGTATGGGGTTGCCATTTAGGATTTTCTACGAGGTGGGGCTGGGGGGTTAAGGGGGGTGGGGGTGTCACTCATAACGTCATTCTGGTTCCCCCTCGATACCCTCGAAACGGTTTTTCGCGATTTTCAATATCTTCTTTAGTTTGGAAAATAGTGCAAGTTTTAAAATTGACACCCTGTATAATAAAAAGATTACAAGACCTGTAATTTTCATTATTAAAAATTGTATTAGATAAGAAGTAATAAATCCCGAAATGATAGTAAAATTAGTTTTTTGTTTTATGAAATACTATTTCCTAAAGTTTTTGTGTATAGGTAGATCTTATCGTAATGGAAGGGAGGGGAGCGCCTCCAGATGTATTTCACGTAGGTGTCAATACCAACAGCTACGGGCCTGTATTTGAGACTCGCAAATTTTCCCTTAACCTTCCGAGAATGAGCGACAATTGTTGGCACCACTTGGTAGGATATACAGTCTGTTTCCAATTAAGTTGGCTCTATTTCTAATTTTCTTAGTTGTAAAGGTAAAAATTGTTTTTCTGCTGAATCCAAATCTTGAATTAAAAACCAAAACAACATCACATTTTTCAGATAGGTAATACGTAATTCTAATTGAAAGATATAAATTTTAGTCTTTCCACGTCAGTACCAAGTTTAACCACTGATTGAAAATAAAGGGTCAACAGTGTATTTTATGTCATCATGAAAAATTTCAATTCTACAAGTTGATGTAGGTCTTTCCTTTTCACCTGTGTGACATGACATGCTAGATTTCATAAGTCTTCTAAATATTAAATCACGAATTTCTCCATTTTGAGTATATCAACCATATGTATATTTTATGCTGTCGTATAGCATATTGCTTGCCCTTTTCAAATAGCTTAAACAAACATAGGCGTTGCATTTGAAAAACAAAAGTTGCATCGATTTCCGATTTAACCGAACGTGATACCGGAAGTTCCAATATGCGATTGGATAGATTGTAATGTCACATATACACGTCATATTGGATATTTAACAAATTTTTCGTATCTCACCAAATAAAAGAGATGTTGAGGAGATGATCATCTTATCTCGAATGCACTATACAGTGCCGTTTATTAAGAAGTAGACATAGGGATTTATGTGTATTCTTTTTCCCTATGTCGACTTTTAAATGACCACATAAATCCTAGCATAAATCCCTATGTCTACTTCTTAATAAATAGCACTGTATATCCGTATATCCTCGTATAACATTTACACCCTATGAAAGATGATGATCACGGTACATACCTATTATACCATTGTATTTTATTCCTAATTAATAATAATAATTTATTGTATGGTGTGATGTCTATACAGCCACTCTGGACGAAAGGGACAAAATAGCAAAACATAATATAGGTACCTACCTAATGTATGCACAATTTTGGCCAAAAATCGCCAAAAAAATACTTTTAAATTATTCGTGTCATTAATAACAGTAAAAGCTTTATAATTGCATTTCTCAAAATTGGATAAAATAAATCAATGTCACAACGATTAATCATTTGAATAAAGAATCACGTTTTTAGTTCCCAAAGCTAAAATTAACAAAACGCCCCCTTGATCGTAAATAAAACCCCCTTTAACTTCAGCAAACCGTGAAATGTACCATGACTATATCAACCATCAAAAACAATTATAATAATTGCTAGCCTATTATCACATCGTGTGCGTAAGACACGGATCGTTACACACAGGTGGCTGTTGTAAAATTATGTGAACAGTTATCCCTATCAAATACATATCCGGGTATAACTCGTAAAATTTGAATTTTCTACACGTCCTTTTTAGGTACCTGGCACGACTCCCCAAATACGTGGACAACAACAATTCAGGAAATGATGTCTGATTTGCGTTTTAAGCATTTCTCGAAAGAATTTACCTACCTACAATAAAATGATTAATCTCTATCATTTTCTTTTTTAGAGACCATTTTCCTTTCTACAAGCAAAACGATGACAGGTGGAAGAATTCCGTTAGACATAATTTATCTATCAATCCTCACTTTAGAAAAGGCAGTAAGGCGGTCCACGGAGCGGGACATCTGTGGACTATAGCTCAGCGCGAAGATAGAAAAACGTGGAATATCGTAAGGCTACATTCGAATTGTTAAATCTGTACACAATTTTTTTATAGAAAAAGCAACGAATGCAACAGTTTATACAGACCTCCTTGAACGATTATAACAAAAATCAGCAAAGAGATTTGGAACTAGAAACGGCCACAGCTAGTATTCTTCCAGAGAATGTCGATGATTGCCACGTAAAACAATTTGCTTTAGTCTAAACAATTTATTGGTTTATTACTATTTTAGAGATCTTTGTCAACGGAGCATACGGAGCAAAATATTGAAATTGAATATGTGAATGTCATCGATGTCACAAGTGGACTTGAAGGTATTTATTAACACTTACCTATAAGGGAGTATAATAATGATCTCTACGATTCTATTTGAAATGAATATACCTAATACCACCCGGAATAAAATACTTATACATTGTCAGAAAGATAAAGATAGCCGATAGGTACCTACCTGTACACTCTCAGCAATTTCGAATCACAGACTGCGTTTACGCCGCATGAACGTACCTACTTAGTGGAGAGGTTCTATCCGGTTTTTGCAGATCCGATTGACATATAAGGTATAAACGATGCAGGGTTGAAATTCGATCGGATCCAAGACTTCAACCTTCAACCTAGACTTCAACTCAATCCGACAAACTTAGGAGATTTAGTTAGTAAAACATATTATTGAAAGTTGTCATTTAAAATGGATTGAGATATTTCCGCCAGAGGAACGCGCATAGATATACACAATTTAAAAAGTCATTATATAAATCTAAATGACGGGAGCGTACTTTCCTCACAACACGCACAAACTGCTAAACGAACTGGTTTGTTGAAGACGATGACAAAAATTTATCGGAGGCTGTGCGAAGGGTTTAAACTTTTAACTTTATTAAAAAAGAACCTTGACCGATGGTCTTAACGGTGTACTAAATTGATTGTTTATTTTTTTAACTTCAACTTGACTACCTTTTTCCGTAAAACGGAACACGCTTTTAACTTTTCACAGAAATATTACAAAATTAATGACGAACTGCGTCTTCAATCAATCAAATCGGGTGGACAACCCGAATAAATAACGTAAAAAGACGTATACTCTCTTATCCAACCGTCGCGAACCAGCCCGGTTTTTTCGTTGCCTGCAGTATTTAACGAAACACCCTCCACCAAACAAACAGCTCCTTCTTCCAGTATTTAGAAATAATGCGTAATTACAACAAAGCTTGATAACGCCAGCTTCGAAGGAATGCGCACAACGCTGTACACCTGTCTCTCTTGTTATTAGCACCAAAAGACGTACGTTAATTAAACTACGTCCGATACAAACTATTAGCGCAAAATAACCAGATAAAAACTTTTGTAATGCAAGCAAATTGACCAGATGTTTCTACATTTTAACACACAGATAAAACTATTATAAACTTAGAAGTTACGGAGGCCTCAATCAAATTCCGTAAATTCCAATAAAATCGCTACTCAAATTTACGTAAGTGTCCCGGATGCAAGTACCTATCCATGATTCAATTTCATATAGACAGAATTCATTACCCTAATTATATATATGTAGGCTCAACTGCCACACAGATAACCATTGGTAAATACTAAGAGTTACTGTCGAGTCACTTTTGGCGAATTTTTGTTTACTTACATGGGAAATCATATTTACTTAACTTGAACTTCCAAAGGTGACTCGACGTCAATTCTTTTTTGATCACCCGCCGGTACCTGTAACATTGACATACGCGTATAAATAATACAAAGGACTCAATAACCTTATCATCAGAGTAGGTACAACTGTAGTACTAATGAGAATATTTCTTTTTATTCTATGTCGATACCAAGTCTCATTGGGTATGTTTGTAAATCACTGCTTTCCATATATACTTTGTGTAACTGATAATTGATGATTGTACCGTTTAAGTAATAAAAATAAATTTCAGATTTCCTCTGTCCTCCTGTGTCGAAAGAACAAATGGTTGAAGAGTGCGGACTTAGTGGAAACTATTTAATAACAGATTTAAATCCAAATACACTGGGCATAAATTTAACTGACGCCGAAATCATTACCAATGGAAATCTGTACGATGACTTAAACTTTCAGTGCTACGAATTACAGAATGATCACTAAATAAATTTTAGCCAAATGTTTTTACAAATCGTATGTTTTCATCTGGGAAGTGTAATTTTTAACTCACACATATTATCTCTATTGTATGCTTTGTACTACCAAGTCCCAGAGAAGAAAAATGGTCTAGTCAGTTTATCTAATGAAGCGTGGCATTCGATTAGAGAAAATGTATTAAACGTAAGATATGTTAATGTAGACCCTTCAAAAGTGTACTTAGTAGACCTAGACATAAGGAGGTAGGTACCTAAGTCAACTGTCAAATGGTAGGTAAGTCAAGTCCGTCCATTGTATAAATTTACAGCTCATTTGGAAATGACACAATGAAATCGTATTGTATTGTGGTATATGATCTTTAATAGTAAAAATTGTTGTCGAAAATAGATTTAAAGTATTTTTGTACATTACGGTATTTACTAATCTAGTTTAGTTATACGCCGTAGTGCCTGCAATAATATCTATTATATCCATTCCATTACAATTATAATCTTACAGTTTTATTAAATAATTTAATAAGTTCTATTGTATTTGTATGCCTACCTATTGCTCTTCTAGTATAAAAACAGTACCGCCTGCAATTATCGCAAATAGTCGCCCACCGCAAAACTGGTCGCCTGTGAGTTGTACACAAATTATGCTATTATATATTTAACTCTATCTCGCCCGGGGCCGAGACACTTCGCCGAATACCCATAACGTCGACACTATTTTTTGATGGTCCATATCGCCGACTAGGGACACTACGCCGACCGTGCCCACATCATCGACAATAAGTGGGCAAGGCATACAACGCCGACCATTCCCACACCGTGGTTTGAAAAAAACAAGCGGGATCCGGGATCAGGATATTGTAAAACAAACAAATTACATTTTTTCTATGTGCGCGACCGATGTCGAAAAAGATACTATGCACTCACATTCAAAGCGCCATTAAAATAACTACTACTACCTACTATCTAATTAGTACAGTCTTACAGGTATATAGTATCAAAGTCGACCACCTGCGTTTCCTTAGTTCAGAATTTAACTTATTATCTTTGTCTGATTTTAAAAAACTAATTTACGATTTATTATTTTGACGTTCAAAAAACGACCTTGGTAGAAATCAGATTCTTTCACATCCTCACGCCATCATCAGTAATTTTTTTAATGTTTCTGTTCAATGAGCGATCAGTCACCACTAAAAAATATAGCAAAGACTACAATATACTCTTATCTCTAAAAGAAAGTCGACGTGTCTTCTATTAAAAAATGATTATTTCTGAAAGAGCTGGCAGAAGTGAGAACACAGTTACAAATGGTCCATGCTGTATATCGATATTGCCCCACATAACCAAGAAGTGTAGGCGCTTGCGCATTGCACCTGCATTTGTTATTGTTATTAATTAACCTAAAATGTAAAAGTGACTCATGTCTTGTAAAATAATGTTAATTTAAATAACTTCTTAAGATCCTAATTCTCGTGCCTTTGGAATAATGTATAAAATATTTATATGTTTGTTTGTATTTACCAGTTATATCTCTTCAGGTAGGTCTTTATAATAACTAACTTAACAGGTGGGTGTGGCTATCTAGCTCTTAGGGTCTCTGGACATCATTTAACCATAAATCTTTTAGCATTTTGCTCTCTATGGTGTTATGAATGCATAAGTACACAGCCGGGATGTGGAGAAAAATTAAATTGGCTGTGGCATTGGACACGGGTGTGCCCTGAGCAAGACGATGTGTGTGTAAAAATTTTGGAAACTAAAGACGGTACTGGCCATTTGAATGTTATCCATTTTTAACGAAACATTTACAGCCGACGTCGTAATAACAAGAACATGTCTAAGCTCATTGAAGGGTTTACGTAAAGATATCCCTGCTGACCATTACGAAGGATGTCGTCCAGCTGCCAAGCAGAGTATTCTAGGAAATTATGTTAATAATTCCATTAAAGAACTTGATATTTATCGGTATGTACTTACAGCCTTAAGCCTTACATAAATTAATTGAGATTTTGTTCTAGAAACCACTACGACTCTACTACATTCTGTTTTTGTTTCTTGGATAATTGGTGTAATGGATCTGGTTCGATGATTGCGTCCATTATTTTAATAGTTTTTAGTGTACTTAGTGTCTATTTTTTACATTGAAACTTGATATTTTTATACTTAAATCTAACAAAATCACTGTAGCTTTACAGCTACTCTGACAAATTTTTAATTGTACATACAGAATGCTTCCAAGTTTTGAAGCTGCCTCTTAAATTGGCTATATCCAATATAGGCATTAAGTATTTTAATATTGTGATACTGATACATCCGTCCATTGTTGTAGTATCCAGTTTTTATATTGGTGTTTATTCAGTATTGATCGATCGTGACATGTACCTTATTAGTAATTATACACAGTTATACTCTATTATGACGTCCATTCAATTGTAGCTTTTAAAGTACAATATTAATATAAAAGTATTTTATACCTACATTTGTTTTAATTTAAATTTTTCAAGATAATTTTGAAAACTTAAGGTGAATCTAATGTTCCAAAATCCATAGCTAAATGTACTGCAACAACATTTATTGTAAATGACCAGCTGGATTGCAAAGGGAAGTAGCAAAGTGATTTTTTTACTTAAGGAAAACAAACCACGATCCTATCTCAAATCATTTAAATTTCAAACCATTATATCTAAAAAAAAAATTCGTGTATAAAGATTACTGGTGATATTTTCAAGGTAGGGACCGCTTTGCACAATTTGATACGGGCGCCACGCATGTATTATCCAGCATTGGAGAAGACAAACTAGAAAATTAAATTTCACAAAATAAACCTCATAATCATACTGGCTTTGGCTTGTTATATTTAATAAAAATATCATAATATGATAAAAACGAAGGAAAATTGCGACAAAAATGGAATAGTTTCCATAGTAACGGTATGATCTCTGTTTTAACGTTTGTCGCGTTCAGACTGAAGGGCTCCAAGTATACGCTTACCGCTCATAAGTAGCGCTTATAGGTATATCGCTTCTGATTTTACTTATTGTGAAGTGGTAGTTGAGCGAGTGGTTCACCAGATTAGCAATAGGGTATCCGCAAGGTGGCTCTTTTCTAAGGAACATAAAAACAAACGCGCACACATAAATATATCTGGCGTACAGGCCGCTTACTTGCACTTTTACCTGCAACTGCAGTTGAGATTTCAAAACCGCGGGTATCAAATTAAAGCCTGTTTAATTCTACGTCATTTAAGCCTAATAAATATTTTTTTAAATAACATTTAAAAGTATGATTTCAGTGTGAGAATGCTTAAAACTGACCGTTTTTTTTTTAGGTCTTGCCACACAGCCAAGTTTAAACTTCCTTGAAAATAAAATTACTCAACCAAATCCCTTCAAATTTTATTATGGTATATGAACAGTAGTTAATTAATATGTAAAAAAACAGGATGTAGTTGAGTCCCAGATGAATTACGCAATATCGACAGAAAATAATATTCATTTCGAGATATAACACGACATAAATATTAATTTCGAAATATAACACAAAATAAATATTAAAATAGAGATAGTATGACTAAATAAACGTTAATTTCGAGATATAACACAAAATAAATATTAATATCGAAATAGTAACACGAAATAAATATTAATATCGAGCTAGTAACACAAAATAAATGTGAATTTCGAGATATAGCACAAAATAAATATTAATATCGAGATAGTAACACGAAATAAATAATATTGTGGTAGGAAAGAAAAATTTTAATTGATGTCTCTTCTCTACGCCTTCGTACATTTTTGATCGCATAGTACAATGTCAGTATATTATTAATATTCAACAATCTTGACCTTGATAAATCCAAGATGGTTGAAGTCAAAGTTAAAAACAAGTTTAGAGGATACCTAACCAGGTAGTGGTTTGTTCTGGGGCAGGTCGCAAACATTCAAAGAAAGGGTGAAATACTAAGGATGGGACTCATCTTTGATCCTTCTGTTAAGAGTAAGATGGAAAATAACATGGCGTTGTTGGACAAATTCAATGTTATAACAAAATATGTAGAAATCAGTGAATCGCAGCTCATATGTTACACATAGATCCTAACCGAAGAATTTTTTTAGCAGAATCTCGGCTAGGTAACAAATTATAGGCCCTTGATCAGGATTTCCCAGCCTATAGTTGACACTCAGGAGCAATCCCAGCATTGAGTGTTGTAACTCACTTGGTTACAATTTTGTACCACCCGTGTGACTGACTCTTCACGGCGTAAATGTTAGTTTACAAACAACAAGCTAGTATACCCATACAGACATCAAACAATACGATAATTTCCATGTTTAAAAGAATGATCACATATAAATATACATCTAAGTTGGAGTCAAGACCATGCAATCGAAACATAAAAAAAATTTAGAAAAGAATAACACCAAAAATGAACGCGGTATCAAACACATGAACCTGCATTAAGGTTGAATACAGTTAACTCCAAAATCACAGTTTGAAACTCACGAAAAATATACATGGCAGCATACAAAACACAAATACATTATAAAGAAATGCTACCTGCATTAAGTAATACAAAAAAACAACAAACATTTACTGAGCGATGCTTTTGTGACCGCCATTAAAAAACCAGATGGCGCAGAGAACTTTTCTGGTTCAAAAAATTGCGTGGTTGCCAGCTCTCAAAAATATATGCATCGTCATAGGTTGTAAATTAGAGGTGGGCAATCCGATTCATTTGAATGAATCGATTCATATCGTTCTTTTTTAACGTGTGCATCGATTCATACGATTCGTTCATGAATCGTGGCGATTCTTTTTACCGAATTGGAAATATGCGACTGAATCGCTGAATAAGTTAATCTTACATACCAAATCGTATTTTACTGTTCATGACCGACATTTTCACATTCAAACAATTGGGTGTTGTGTTGAGGAAACTAATATAACACTTTTTTATGTCGCGTTGCCGTCGACGGAAGGTTGAAAATGAAACCTTACCCTCTGACTCATCTTATTATCTTATACCGTAACCGTATACGACAGGATGTGTACACCTACACCTAGACCTATACAATTTACGGTGGCAGCGATTCATTTCAAACGATTCGTTTTCGTTCGGCTTCGAAATTCGCAGTGGCGCACGAATCACGATTTTATGATGAACGTCTGAACGATTCGCAGCGCCGCACATGAATCGATTCATTCATTCATGTACATGAGTCGTTCAAAATGAACGATTCGTTCATGAACGACCCAGCTCTATTGTAAATGCAGGGTCTTTGTCATCTGCCTAAACTGCATGCTACAGCGACCTTGCTAGCTTTTAATGCTGGTTTTGAATTTTCTTAAAGGTATAGATACAACCATTGTATTTACAATACATACAAAGCAAGTTATTAATGGCCACATTGATATCGTGCTGATTAATTTAAAATAGGGCGAATATTTCGGTTTGTAGAAAATGAAGCATGGGAGTGCCTGAATTTAGTTACGAAAAGATTGGATAATCTGTACCCCCGCTCCCACTTCCGCAAGTAGTAAAACCGTTAGTGCCATATTTCTCTGTGTGACAACTGAAAAAAAATCAGGAAAGAATACATATCTATATACGTTAAACCCTAGTGTCTTTAAATTATTAGAAATAAGTATGTGCTCGCATGAAAAAAACAAATACAGCAGTATCTTATATTTTCACCTTTCTATTACTACACTTCACACAACTTCATTAAAAATGCATTACACATAAAAATGTGCAAATGTAATACAAAATATATGTATATATCTACAATTAAAACATTCTATACAATAGAAGCATCAATTTTTTATCACCTTATTAAAAATTACATCACAGAAAATCGACCGACTAATTGCACATGACAGTCGTCACAAACACGGACTGGTTTTGCAGACGAAGGTAAAGGCATAGAGTTATCCGAGCAAGCATTACAAAATATTTCGCCACAATTACGACAGTGATGCTAAAAAAAACCTAGTTAAAACGTATATTAACAACGATTCATACCTTCCGCCTAGTCATATTAAACTCTTTGGAGCAACCTTTACAGTTCGTTGCACTACTATCATCCGCCCAAGCACCCTCTACCTTACGACCTGCTTCCTCTTTTAAATCAGATATTTGAAGCTTACTAACACTTAACTGGGCACCTAATTCTTCTAATGTCTGTTCCTGTTCCAACCATCTTTCCTTCAAAGTGTAATAATCTTCCTGAAGTGAGGCATATTTCTAAAAGAAACTAGATTAAAGCCAATAAGCGCCAAATGTCATATTAAATTACTTGTGCGATTGCCTTTAAATGGGTTAATTCGATTTGTAATTGCGATATACGTTCCCTATCCTGTTGCATGTTTTCCTGTAGGGCAACTCGCCACTCTCTTTCTACTTTCAAATCGCCCTCTACTGTTGTTGCCTGTTCTTCATTGAGCGTCGCCTGTATATCTAACTCTCGTCTTTTTTGTTCGGCATTTGATCTTTCAATTTCACTTTCACGATACCTAGAAGATATACATCTGACATAGTTTCTATTTAAAAATCAACGTTAAGTACAGTTAATTACAATTTCACATCGAATCATAGTATTAAACTTCGATAACAACCGTGAATATTTAAAAACGGTAGCAAAACGAAACTAAAAATAATCAGAATGCAAATAATTCTTCTGAAACTGAAACAGTTGCAAAATAACAATAATGAAGCTTCAAAATGCAACTCACTCATGCACCTCTTTTAGAATATACACAACTGTATACAGTTTGTGGGCTATCAGGGTATTAATATTCTCCTAGCTGCAAATTTAGAGACAAAACCGAAAAGCGTGAGGAAAGCTGCTGATAGTAAAAAATGGAATTTCCAAAAGTTGAAAGAATTGGACAAGGATGAAACAGCATGTAAATGTAAGTAAAATAAGAAATGTAAAAATGTAAAATAGAAGAGAAATAAAAGTGGTCATGTTCAGAATATAGAAATATTGAATAGAAGTGCTCAACGTGATGGAGGAAAATACAGGACAGCAGCAGTTTGGTTTCAAAAGAGGAATGGGCATGAGAGATGCAATGGGAGTGGTGAGAATAATCAGCAAAAGATATTTGAAAAAACGAAGGACCTGCTTTGTAGCGTTTGTTGACATTATAAAGGCATTCGATTGGGCAAACTGAGAAAAACTGTTCAAAATACTAAAGAGGAAAGATGTCAGCTGGAGAGAAAGACGACAAAAAGCAAAAAAAGTTGGCTCTAAAAAGGCTCATTGGTTTAATATCGGAAGAGAATTAATTAGACAGCCAAAAAGGAAATTCAGGCAAAACTCACTAAAGAGCACTGCAAACATTGTTCAGAACCATGTCTTTCTGGAAACCCCAAACGGGAATTAGCATCATCCATCTAAAACTAAGTAGGATAAAGATAAAACGTGCGACAGAAATGGTCACAGAGACAGGCCACTATTATTTGTGACCACGAACTTATAAATTAAGATGGACTGCTAATGCTGAATTGACAAATGACACCTACATGGGGGCACTCATTGGCGCGAAATTCAAATCAACTAATAAACAAGCATTTACCTCACGTTTTCTAAATAAATTACTGTGACACATGTCATCTTCCAAGGCTGCAATAATCTCAAAACTTGAGCACTAGGAAAATTCCTCTAGAAAATAACTAAAACGTGCACATCATGGCCGCGCCCATTCTAGGGCCATTTCTACCTCTATGCAACTGTTTGATCAGCAGTCCATCTTAATTTATAAGTTCGTGGATGTGACAGATTTGCGTTTCTGAGCAAAGCTGTTCAACAGACATGTTTCTGTCAAGAAGATCTGTTCTTTGCTTAATAATAGGTATGCTGAACAGTCTTATTTCTATTAAACAGGGTACTATTCCACTTATGGGAAGGAGACCCTTCGATGGGAAAATAAATTCATACAAAGCAGAAATTGACTTAAAACCAGTACATGGCGCGCATCTGCACGTGATTAATTCTTTTGAATTTTGCATTTCGTCACCACCAACATTTTGAGACTGCATTTTTACTTTTTGAGCTTATTTATCGAACATTGTTTTTATTGCAATATTCATCTTTAACCCAGCAATTTACTCAGTACTCAATTCACAATTGAGTATAAACATTTCTTTCTTTCAAGACGTTTACTTTTAATTTAAAGGCAATCATTTAGATAAATTTGTTGTACCAGTTAAATAGGGTCTCAGGTTAACAAATTAACTATTTATCGCCCTTTTTCGTGTATTTTAAAGCACATAATGCTGCTGTTACATTGGGTAAATTCAGACTAGTTACGGAAGTTTCCATAAACAAATCCATAAAAAGTAATGGGGTAAGAAACTGTGTTTAACAATAGCATCAGAATTTGCACTTGTCTCTATATGATTTGTATTGCTGCTGAAAAATAATAATAATAATGGCATTTGATGTTGATAAAAAAATGAAAGTAGTAATGATTCACTTGCAACCTTTTTACACCACAATTTTTGACTGCAACACCAACTGTAAAGCAAAAAATTACAATACCATGCACCCACACACCGCAACAAAAGTACAATTAAACAAAAAATTAAATAATATAAATACGCATGCAAAACTAAACCAGGAATAAAATTCATAAAATTAGACGAAAATAATGGCAAACCTACAAACTACAAAAAAGTGAAAACTATAAAAACATTTAAAACCTAATAATAGGGCATTAAGACAATAAAATACCTGAACATGTTTAAATAATTTTATTATAAAAAAGGTTTAATAAATGTCAAAACAGCAGAAATTGCTTACAATATTAAGGCCAAATGGCAATATAAAATTAACAAAAAAATTTTGAATTAACAATAGTATTACAATTGTATAATGTACTTAACTACGAATAAATAATTTCCAATATAATTTCTAATAGCAGCTGTTGTAGTGAAGGTTTGCCAATACTTCCGCTAATCACCTAAAGCTACATTCATATAAGTTCGATAGCCACATTAAAAGCACAACCATAACTTATAAAATGCAGTGGAAATCCTATTTGTAATAAAAATATATTTGGTCATTAACAAATTGTTTAATGGCTTTTATAAAGTGATATATTTACTAAGTGCAATATTATTCAACTTCGGAGGAGAGTAGTATATCTGTTACCGGTAATGTTAGAAAAACGTTAATGTACGCATTAACAGATTAATCTGCAGATTAACGATTTTGATCCGTTAAAGTGCGAAATTTGCTTTAAATTGGTAGCAATCTGTCAATTACCTAGTTAATAATATGCACATTAACACAAAAGTGCGAAGAAATATTAAGAAGAGCAATACAAACACGTGATAATCTGAACTTTTAACTGTCTTCAGCACATCAACGGTAACATATCCAACTGAAATTCAGATTTAATTCCTGGTTTAATTCTTATTTGTAAGTCTTCTCCAAAGCTTAATTGCACTAAGTTGCATTGGAACCACACTAACGAAATCACTATGCTTAGTTATTAAGAGTAAAATCTCAACTTGTTTTCACAGCTAAAGTGACCATATTTCACGACATGTGGTATATTCTGATTATTTAAAGCCGAAATGTGTAACAAAAGAATTTACCTACTTTTCTTCAAGTGTTTGGATAGTATCTGACATAGACTGCGTTTTAACCTCTAGCTTGGAAATCAGTTCGGTCTTATATTTAAGGGACCCCTCGTTTTCCTGAAATAAGCCACTTTATACACAATCCTCAGTCTTCCTATGGTTCCTAATTCTTTCATTACTACCACTTAACTAACATACTATCTCGTATAACAAAAAATTTACAACACCCCCATCCCCCCTAATAGTTGCCGATGAAGGAGCAAGCGTAATTGAATATGCACTCCTTAAAGTATTCAAAATAAATTTAAACAGTTGTGATATAGAGCATTTGTGTCACGACAAGTAAATTGTTTTGCAAGACATTTAAGTTATTTCCGCCTGATCGACAATTTCGAAATTTTGTTCAATACTCTCTGAATGACTCATGCTCATAGCTTTGGCATCAGCTTCATCAATTGTAGTACTTTCACTTGTACCACCTTTAGAGAACTCCTGGCTCTTTGTATTTTTCATAAAATTTTTGGAAGTGGATGATGTAAATTTTTTGTCAAAGGACGAGGGTCGTTTTTCAAAAGATTTCTTGTCACGATTAGTCTCATTAATCAAATGATTATATTTCTCTAAATTATTGAGGATTTTGCCGATCTGACCAGCTTTGGCTTGAAGGCGACTCACCACTTCTCCTTTCTGAGTTAACTCCATTTCACATTCCTATAATTTGGAGTAAAATTAACAAGAATTCAAATAAATAAATCAATCATGCACTTAAAATTGTCCACACATGATCAACTATGACTACTTGTGCCGTGATTTAGTAATGGGTGCTATAACTAAGTTTTAGAAAGAACGATATAATTTAAACACAACTGAAATTATCGACTTACCTGCAATTTTTTGTACATTTCTAAATTAATTAACTTAATGTCGTCCAATTGCCTTCTTAGTGATATTATGGTATCTTGCTTCTCGTGGATGTCTTTTTCAAGGAGTTTCATTGCGACCTCCATTTCGGCCTTAATGCATAACTAAACAAACAATGTCATTGTAACTATTAAAAATGTTAACAAACAATCTAATATTACTTGTAACTCCAGCTCTTTGTCTGCCTCCTGTCTTAGTCTACGCTCTTCGTCTAGTCTTTGTTGAAGCTCTGATGCATCTCCACTAAAAGGTTTTATACCTTCACCGCCATCTTCTCGAACTGCTTTACTTAAAATGTGGTCTTTAGACGAATCGCTATTGGTAACTTCCTCTCTTCCAAGTTCTCTTCGCAATTGTTGATTTTCATCATACAAGGCTAGAAGACTATTTTTAGCAATCGCTAAATCCTCCTTCATTAAAGCATTAGTTGTTGTAAGAGATTCCACCTTGGTTTGAAGGTTCGTTACTGTCGCACTAAAATTATCGGTTCTGATATCAGCAGTTAACATCAACAACTCACTTTAAATGTCTATTTAATTCCTCTATGTAATTCTTTTGGTCCAAAACCGTGGTCATATTATCTTCCCCTAGTTGCTCATCCATTTGTTCACCAGATAATTGATTGGACGAACGAAGATACAGAGAGAAATCTATCACGCCTTGTGGACAATCCAAATCTTCCTCCTGAAAAGAGATGTCAATGTTTTAGTTTTCATAGGCATATTTGAGAACATTATAGTCTAAATTTAAAAATAGAATTAGTCATAAGGGTCCATTCTAGCCCTGAACACTTGCCCCCTAGTTTTGAGCTAGGAAAGTAATCAAACCAAGTTCAGAGATTGTTAATTACCTGCACTGTGGTTAACAAGTGATTCAAAACTGACCTTGCAGTAAATTTTAATTTTATTTTATATGTACCTAGATTGGCAACCTTAAACTACTAAACGGCCGCTCACAGAGGGCTTTTCAAGTAACCAGCGAACCTTTCTACTTACCAAGGTCACCTTGCCCAGGATAATAATAATAATGCATAATCTAAAACGTCCTATTAGTTGCTGTATATTTTACACTTTCACAAGATACAATTTAACAGTGTCGTAAAGACTCAAAGCAGTAACATAACCTTACACATTTTCTATTTCCAATTTCGAGCATAACCCTGGACTGGGAAATTTTATTATTTCACATGGACACAGAATGGGAAAAATTTGCTGAATTTTAATTTTTAATATTAGTTTCTTATTGTAAATTTAGTAGGTAATTGTTTAATTTGTTTAATTCTATTTCTTGTATTTAGTTTGTATAAAAAATTTAAAATGCATAAATAAGGAAACATTTAACGGTAAAGTCAGATGTTAGTAAAAAGTTTTTATCAGACAAAAATTAATTGATTTTGAGATAAACAATGCCACGTGCGAGATAAGCAACGCATGTGTCTATCTGTCTGGCGACAATGCGAAATTCTGAGTGTTGCCGAGGAACAACGATGTTGAATGTATTAGGGGAAGCATAAATAGCAAGAATGGAGAGTAAAGGGGGCTGTTGAGGCGAAGGCGGCTGTCTCGGGTTATTTTGAAAGAAAGCGTACAGTCTGTGTGTATCAAGAATTAAGAAATAATTGTTGTAATATAGGACAAGTATTATCATCCTTGCAGTCACAAATTTAAGTGTTTTGTGACTTCAAGCCAGTTTTGGCGTATTAAAAGTAAGTTTTTCTTTGCTAAGAATCTGTCAGATTCGTGTGAAAGTGAGTGTTTTACCGATCATCATGCATTTTTGTTCTGACAGTCTATTTGGATTATTATTAACAAAACTGTGAGCACTTTTTGAGATATATTAAATTATTTTCCGTTAGACCGTTTTGCAAACGGGGTGTTTTGTATTCAAAAGGCACTTAAATTTTTCATACAGGATTCTTTGCATTTGATTTTCTTTTTATGATGTGTGTTAGAATATATTCTTGCAATTTCTTTTTATCAATTCATTATATCAATTTGAATCCCAATTAGAAATCCAGGTAGAATGTTTGTTTTTCTGTGTTAGACATGTGTCGATGGTGACTATACGAGACAATAAACGACTGAAAATTGGTTTCAATCACAATCAGCCATGGAATTATTGCCATAAGAAATACATTGTAAACTTCAAACATTTAAAAGATGATGACATAACCGCGAGATGTCTGCCAGAACGGTATTTTCTTAATTGACTAATAATAAAGCGTCATTTAAAAATTGCCGGTCTCTGCCATAGAAACGTAGCGCGCCGAGAGAGATAGTGCAAGGGGGATTTCTGTCACTGTCACTCATTGAGAAACTGACCATTAATATAAATTCAAACCATATCAAATGGGCTGCTCTGTGCATGCGCGAGAGTAGGACAGAGATCCCCCTGGTGGCCATCTCTCTCGGATCGCGCTGGCCGACGGAGCGCGCGTTCCAGTATAATTATAGTTCAGGGGGCGTGCACCATTTCTCAGTTGATCTGTAGCAACAACGAACCTAATCCAGTCAAGCAATCACTCTGTATCAGCAAAAGGACAGAGAAACACCCTTTACCCGTTAGTTGGGTTTGAAGCTTCATTTCAATGACAGGCAGAAAGAACATATCCGAACATTACATGCTATGGGCATTTCAGCTTCATATGATCGTGTTATGGAAGTTAGGAAGCAGTTTGCACATGCTGTCTGTAAACGGTGGCATGAAGATAGTCATTGTATCTACAGCAAAAGGAAAGTGTTTGTGACAACTGCAGTGGACACTCTTCATGGAACTGTTCACGACACAGGATAATCAAATGTTAAGCAATAGAAAAGGTATATCAACTATGTCTCCAAGCCAGCACGAAGAAGCCGACACCAGAATAATGGTGCACTTCCAACACGCAGCTGAGCAAGGACATGCCAAAGCTTACCTATCACAGTGGACCACACCTAAAACTATACCAATTCATCTTTATAATTATAAACTCAATTTCTCTTTTATTCAATTTGAGGTTAAGTGGTAAAGCAAAAACTTCATTTATTCACAAATTTCAAGGGAAAAACGGCAGGACACTTTGATTTCATAGGAGGGAACTAAATTTTATGCCATCCCTTTGATTAAATTTGAGATTAAGTGGTAAAGCAAAAACTTCATTTAGTCACAAATTTCATGTGCAAAGGTTTGGACATTTTGATTTCATGGGAAGGAACTAAATTTATGCCATTTCCCTTTCATTCAATTTGAGGTAATGTGGTAGAGGAAAAACTTGGCCTGTCTAAGTCAAATCAACTACCGTCCTTCTTTCTGACCTACTATCAAAAGAGGGGGTGGGGGTGGAACTTATTTTATCCTTCATGGTACTCTAATGTAAGGTCTCAATGAAAGGAATTAATTTCTACCAACCATAGTCCTCCTCCTCGACCCCTTATCGTGATGCCATTATATATCTACAACGGATTGTCTTGTAGAGGGCACTCACAAAGGGCGAAGGTCTGAAAGAAATATATCCATTGATCATGTCACAACTTTTAACAGCGAATATCTCAAAAACGGTTTCTCAGAGGAAAGTACTCTCCAAGGCAAAATGAATCGACCGGACGATACATATCTTTTGTGAAGTCAAAGCAAATACCTTGACAATGATGTGTCGGAAGAGGTACTCAAAAAAGGCAAGTGGAATGTCAGGACAAGACATATCTATTGGTGATATTAAAGCTTTCAGTGCAAATATCTGCAGAATGGAGAGTTGGAGGATTTTGAATGTATGCCAGGCGGCCTTTAAATGTTTATGTATAAGAGCCTCCTCTCCATTAATCATCTACCAAGAAAGTAAACATCGATAGCATGCTACTACCTTATAACCCAACCATTTACTAAGCTATTTCAGTTTAAAAAAATGAGCTTTATCTGCACAAGAGTTGTGCACAATTTATACTTGTGATGAATGTAAAGTGTGATCCAACGATAGTTCAACTATTTCAAAATTAAAGTCAAAAAATTACCTGGTTTCATAAAATTATTCGTGTTCATGATAAGTGGAGTTCACATTTTTGGAAGTATTTTGGAGAAATACACCAACATCTACCTATATAGGAGAAGACAAATAAATCTGAATAAATAACAAATAACAACTAAAAGTTCTTTAATAATCACACCTAATTGTCCTCCACTCCCTATTTTACAAGATATAGAAAGCACTTTGTCATGTTTTAGAGAAAATGCTGTTTTTCTATTTTGGAATACATGTTCCGGCCCCTTGATTATTGCATTAAACTCAAAGTAGCGTTTCCTCCTAGTCATATTTCACAGAAAAATGTTACCCCAAAAAACCCTATCTTCGCTACTTTCTGAGCTGTAGCCCCTCACCCAGTACAACAGTGCAAAATGCTTCCTTATTAAAAAATGTCCACTTCAACATTTGTAAGTTCACACTGTCATAAAACCACTAACATTCTTAGATGGTTTGCAAGTAAATGCATTCTCATTTAATTAAACACGAGTGACCTACTTTAACGCATAAATTGCAGTCGATGACATTCAGGCCAACCAATAATCCTATGATAACTATGGCTTCATCACTAAGCATCAGTGCATCTGGCTCGAAATACTCGGCTAAAGCCTCATCTTTATGATCCAATAAGATTTTTAAATAATCTGCCAGTTTTTTCTGCATTAGAGCTAACCTCAACCACGCTCTTGCTCTGCCCAAATGTGTGCTAAAAGCAGACATTGTTAATGATGTTGAAACTTAGAAATAATGTTAAATTTTACCGTACGGTTGGTAAGTCACGCACACTGGCTGTGATGTCCTGTGCCTCGGAGGTGAACTTCTCAACCAATTGCAATATATCCCATAGTTCCTTTTTTGGACCAAGTAAACCCTGAAATAAAAACATCTTATACGAATCTTGATAATTAGGTGTACAATTTTCTTGTAGTTCCGCCAGTGAGGGTTTTGATTCAACTAAGCCAGATTATGAAACTTGGGACTGTAAACTGCTTGCCACAAAAAATGTTATTTATTTAAGATTATAGTTTGACAATACAAAGCAAGGAACAATAATTTCAACTAACGAGTTGTTGCATACCTTTTTTGGCCTCAATCCATGACGTAAAACATGCTCTAGCACAATAAAAAAATGTTGCAAAGGCATATGATCCGAGTCCAACATTCGGCCATATCGTAAGGACTGCTCAATTAATTCTTTTACGACTAGTTTACTTATGTTAACTAAGTTGCTTCTTTCTATGACTACCGGGTCTCGTCCTGCAACACAACAAAATCAAATAAAACAACAATCGGGAAAGGTAAACTAAAAAAGGTTAGAATTACCAAAAGGATATGGGGAGATTTCAGGTGACGGTGTTGAAAGTGGTCGTGGGAAAGAATCTTGCATATTAAATTCAACATCGTGAAGTTCTTTAAGACATAGCCATTCGCCGTCCACAGAAACTCGAAAATTGCACAAATAGATGGTATCTTGTGCACCTGCCATGTCTTGTTCCATGGCAGATTCACCACCTTCTATCATATTAAGCGATTTCATAGATGCATAACTTATTAAGTATTAACTTCAAAGACCAAGTCTGAAAGGAACATTGTTTATCTGCACAGTAATGCGTATTGGCAATAACAAGCCACCTTAAAAACAACCAAATATTGAGCAATAGGTAATTTTCGAGATAAGGTGGGGGGTTAAAAATCAATACCTTGACTTCAATGTCAACACAATGCCATCTAGGAGATTTAACACCAGTACCCTTAATTTTAAAACACCATTAGGAATCTGCCTTCACCATTAGTGCAAAAGCACTAATTATTATTCCTTTAAAGGACACATTTTATGCTGTTTTTATACTTGGCCATTTCATTGAATAACCTTTTACTCTTTTACTTTATATAGTACCAATTCTCAACAAAGCCTTGACCACCACATGTAGATTAACCAAAAGTGAGCAAGAAAAAATGTTAGAATCATAACTTACCAACTGCAGTTGTGGTATTAATTGATAAAGCATGTAGTTACAATACTTACACTACAATTACAAAGATTTTTATATTTTTTCGGTTACATGTTAAAACAAATAGTTTTCTGCCCCCAAACCTTAATTTCGAAACTATAGCCTTGGAAAAATTCCTAATACATTTTCGAAGTTTACACCAGTACTACTCCTATGACTGCTCTCAACTCTGTCTATCACTTTTCTAGTTGCAAAGCCTACGTTAGGTTTATACTACTACCCCTATTAGAGGGTTGATCAAATTTCATGTATGACCAGCCTATAAAATGTCTCCCTTTAAAATAAAGTTGACGTGTTTTTAAATTGACACACTGTATGTAACACTACGAATATAAGTAAAACAAACGACGATTTTTAAATATTGTTTTGCGCATGCGCAGTGCGAACTTTCTTATTTACAAAAGCATTTAAATGAAATATGATACATAGGCACTTGGAATAAAAGCAACTCTATCCCCATATCAAAGTTTGATTTTGCGCTTGTGCACTGCCAACTTTCTTATTTATCAAAGCATTTAAATTACACTTTTTTATACTAGTATACGCTCCACGATTGGGTAAAGGTATAATACCCTAGCTGTGAGAAAAGTATTTCAAAACATATTATACATAGTAAAATAAGTTATTTTACAATTGACAATCCATTGTTGATACTTTTTAGCGCATTTTCCAACGAAGTTGGGTGCGCTATTGCAGCCACTTTCTCTGTCCGTCCGTGTGTCCGAGGCCTTAACTACTCCTACAGTTTTCAAGATATTTAGTTCGTTCTTTTTGCATTCGGTAGCGTATCGCTCTGGCACCTGAGTCAAGGAAAATCTTGACGATTGAACTGCGCATGCGCAGGCTGCGCAATGTTAACTTTTTTATTTATTAATATATTTTGTTGAAATTTTAATCACAGATACTTGTAGTAAAGGCAAATATATCGCATATAGTAAAAAATCAGATGAACTTTCTTCTTTATGGAGATATTTCTTTGAAATTTTAACCAAAGATGCTTATAGTAAAAGCAAACGTATTGCATATTGTAAATTTCAGATTAATAAGCGCATGCGCAGGACGCGCAATATCAACTGCGCAGTAAGTGTCAACTTCCTTATTTATGAAGATACTTCTTTAAAATTTTAACCATGCATGCCTCTAGTAATGAAAAACAGAGCGCACATAGGTATGACCTTTGGGGAAGTATTGATCAATTTATGGAAAATGCGATGAAGTTACTCGTCGTAGGGCGAAAACCTTTTTACTTGTTAAATTAACTATATGAAAAACATAAGGCATAAGGCCTTCTGCGCTGATGGCAAGTTTCTAATAAATGCAACCTAATCAATGTAACCACTTCATTGGCCCGTATGAATAAAATGAAGCATATGGTTATAGGTACTTGCAAAATCAAAGTAAATACTCGGAAGTGATCCTTCACTCTGGGCGACTTAACAGCGCTGCTGAGCAGCGGGACAGGACGCAGTGCAGCGCTGCTAAACAGCCCAGTATGAAGGGGCACTTCCGAGTATTTACTTTGAATTTTGCAAGTATAAGCATATGCTTCATTTTATTCATACGGCCATTTAGTGGCAACAGTGAATTCAAGCAATATTTGTATTTACTGGTTTCCTAGTTTGTTCTATTACCTTGTGCACATGAATAAGTACTTAATTCTGAATAGGCACCAATTAAACAAATCTCGAGACAAATCTGCATATCTCTTATTCTTATTATCTCCAGTTCGACTGGAACTGGAAGTCGGATAGTCTGACTGACAGATAAAACGATTTTGTTTACGATGATTCACACTACAACCATTAGTAAACAAACATATTTAGTGGTTTTTCTTAATGGCATATTGTAGCAAGTAGCGAATGCACGTTACTAGAACAGGTCAATATACCACAATCTTTTTGTGTCAACATAAAATTTTATTCAATTAATATGCAACATTCTATGCGTAAGGCAATGACTTTTAATTTGGAAGTAGAGGGATGTTTTACTGGACAGAATCGGGGTTGTGTATGGAATAAGCACCTACACCATACTAACAGCATTAAACAGAAGAAACAATTGCCTATCTGTCATTGAAACCTACTCTTTTGTTTTACCTAACTACTTAAGTTTAAGTACATTAAAACTTACTAAAAGCAGTTTTAAAGAGTACCTTTTTGAATTTTTGGTTTTTTCTTTTTGGAATTTGACACTAATAAGGAAGTCCATTGGAACTCTTCTACTGTTGATGATAATGATGGCGATCTGGAGCTTCTCTCTGAATTAATTGCAGAATGAATGGAATTTAAAATTGTAGGCGTATTTGGAGTTATTGGCAAACCTTCACTACTTGCAGCAGCCATTTTTGAACTAGTTTTGAAGTTCACTTTCGACAACAATATAATGCCCCGGTTACACAGCCCCGACTTTGGCCGAGATCTAAAGCAGCATATACATCGACACCAGAGTACACTTTTTTATAAATTACATTGTACATACCATTCAATGATTTTACGTACAATGCTTTTATCTATGCTTTATGGCAATCATTGTCAATATTGTCATTAGTTCACTATAATTAGATCATTGCCAAATAGAAATAGCCAATAGAAACAAAGTTACAGCTTCCTTGGCTAGTTTTCTATTGATTATTTGTTATTATTGGTAATGATCTCATGACAGTGATGATAACGATTGTATAATAACCCTAAACCCACCATTACATTGGTCAGAGATCCGAGACAAGTATTGATAATAGCATAATACCAAGTATAATACTAAGCGTACCTTTAATAAGAAATGGCGCCATTAATTCGTAAACTACGAACATATACACTACCCAAGACACAAAAGATATTCTAACAATATTTAAACAAGCTGTAAATCAGCATATGCATGATTAAAGCGCATTTTTGGTAATGCAGGTCAGTATTTTATTAGCGAAGTTTAAAATTATCGACCTCACGAGTAATTTTGGCTGCGTTAAATAATTAATTTTATTTAATTTCAATTGACGGTAGGTACGTCTTCATTTTGTAAAACAAATCAGAAAGTAAATAATGTTTTTATACTGGTAGCGCTATCTAACGGTAAAATTATAGCACCTCCGAAACCCATATCGAAATTATTTTCTTCAATTATCGATCTCACAAGTAATCTAACTTAAAATAAACTAGTGCCTGCACATCTACACTATAGCAGAAAGCTTTTAGTGAAATTTTGAATTCTCTAGCTATTGTAGTTGTGGAGATCTCACGCGGACAGCCGGCCTGCCAGCCATAACGAATATAATAGCGTATTTTTTTCAAAAATGCGCTAAAAATAGTGATGTTCAAATTTTTGAAATCAGAAAAAATGCTATATTAATTAAATTAAATGACATAAGAAGTAAAATGACTTCCATAAGAAAAAAAAGGAAAAAAGTGCTCATAATAAATAATAAATAACTTAAACGGTCAAAAATAAAAACGATTTTGCAATATTTGGTTTTTTTCTGGATATCTCCTAAAGTAGTCAGATTTTTTTCAATTTCATAACGGCATTTTGTTAAGCATCAAAATGCGGAACTTTGCCAAATTTAAACTACATACCTATCTCTTAAGAAAAAAGAAATGAATGAAAAGAATGGGCAATTCGAGTTCAGTCACTACTCCCTGTCCGTAAGAATGACTTTACCACTTTTTGGTCTTAGTAAGAAAGCTCGGATTACATCCACTCTTGCGAGGAGGAGCAGGAGAGCGTATCTGAGGGTCTCCCAGATCCACTTATCCAACTGTTCAAGAGCCCCCCTGCATCATCTCTTTCACAGTGATTGATCTTCCGCGTACCCCCGTGTATACACTCCGTCCTTGTTGAGAGTGTGGAGAAGCCCATCTAGCACAAGGCACCACAGCAGTGGAGAACACACTCCGCCATACGAACATCCTCTAGTAACCAAAGAGCTCCAAGCAGGATGTGTATCTATCGTATGATTAACCCATCAATGCCAAACCCTTCAGTGAATTCACTAATGGAATCGAACATGGTGCTGTTAAATGCACCCTCGATACCTAGGAATGCTCCCAGGACTACCTGATTGCCTGATGAAAGTAAACCGAGACCAAATAAACCGCCACCGGTCACCATTGAAGCAACAATATCTCCACAAAATTAAAGCAGGTTCACTGCGTAGGAGAAGAGAAAAAAACACTGCTACATATTTTGTGCCGTTGTATAACACCTCAAAACAGATTCCTTGGGGGAAAGAAGTTGCCTCCATAAAAGTTTTAGAGTTTAGACTTTTTTAAAGGTTGCTTAGAGATAAGGAAAAAGCTAAACATTTTAAGTTCTCATCTACCCCAAAGCTCTTCCCGCCTGAAAACATTGAATTATACACAATATAAACCACAGCTAATCAAAGACAAGGCAAAATGTTCCATATCCACGAGTGAAAAGTGAAACCTATACAACTGTAGGAATAAATAAGATACATCGCAAATGTAATAATTATATCAATGTATTTTTCATACAAATTATAAACATGATTTAAAATACTGTACACACATACAGAGCAAAAATATTAAAACTTTCAAGATTTATCTTGATATGGCATTCCAGATATGGATAAAAAAATCTCAATTATAGCACACTTTATATAACACATTTTGCATTTTGTAAGTAGTACGATAAAAATATGTATAGCCGCCATATTTGATTAGAAATATATACATTTGTTTTTTTACTTTTTACACTGACACGATAAATTTAAAATATATAGATCATTTCAATAGAGTACAAACATTTGATTTGTTACTAATATTTATAATAATTATTGTTCATCTGATCATCTTTCTTAGTCCTAGAGTATTTGTAAATTCGGTTAATGTCTACTCGGCAAATTAAGTATCAAATAAGGTATATAAAAATTAAGCAGCCTCTAACGGAACAAATAAGAAGAGTTCATCTTCACAGAAGATATGTTTTCGAATTTGTGCCAGTGTTACAAGTACAGTATTTATACTAATTTACAACTGTTCATTTCTTTGCAAAAATTAAATAGTTAAAAAAACACAAATAGAGATCAAAACCATTGCCACTTGTTTTAAATAAAATAAATAAAATGTCTTTCTATTAATTTTCAATTGCACCAAGCGATTATCGCACAAAATATGAAAACATTCGCATATTACTCTAAAGCAAAGGCTGCCAAAAGAACACAAAAAATTTTTATATCTCCACAAAATATTGCGATACATATTTAAAATGAAAAATTTGACCTCAAAACATAGTTTTGAATGTGTTAATAAACATGACCTATTGTAATCGACAACATAATATAATTGCTTGGCAAAAGACCATTTAATGATCTAATCGTCTGTGTTATGTAAAAAGTATTTGTGGAGATAGTAAATTTTGACAATAATAAAGTACGTACTAAATGAAGGGGGTTAGCAAAACCTCTGATAAATACTGGGTAATATAGACATACAAATCTAATAAAAATCTATATAAAACACTAAAGATAGGATCACATAAACTTAATCTTACAATAGACATCTCATAATCTACGAAATTAACCTAATAATATATAATTGCTATCAGAGATATTGAGCCACATAATGTTTTGACTATAACATCTTTATTTAAAAAATAAATATGTTTTTGGGGTAAGATTTTTGTAAATATATTTTTGAACATCATGTGGTGAAGTTTACAGTTTGAAGATATCACTATTAAACCTAAAGTACGATGCCACGTTGTATAATTAAATATCAAAATAATATATAAATAAAAACAATAAGGAAAATAATAAAGTACATTCTTTTACTATGTAACAGTGTGAAAGTATTGATATGTGTGTTTCAAACTTGTACGAATAACAATTTTAGACAGAATGGACCAATCGTTAATATTAATATGGTTTTGATTTTGTAAAAGTACCCACTTTATTATTCACTTTGATAAACAAAATAGAGAAGCAAAAGAGCGAAACCTTCTATCTCAAATATTAAATGGCAATTCCGTTTTTAATTTACCTATCTATTTACTAATATATGTAACCGATAATAATACTAGTATTGTGAGTGTGTAGGCACTGAAGTGAAATTGGGTTGCACAAACCCGCTAATCTTTTACAAGCCTGTAGATGTGGTGTTGCGCCCCATGCTCCGACGTCGATACTTCAAATACGTACGCTGTACAAAGAAGAGTTTCTTGTGTATCTCTGTTACTTACAACCTGCGAAAAAAGGATAATGTAATTAAACTAAAAGTATTACACAATGCAATATTGCAACACAGTTTGATATGTTTTTTAATTTATCACTAAAAGAGTCTACATCTCTCGGATTTTACAAAGAATCTAGATCTTGTCCAGAGCTTTATGGTTCCTACCAGAGCTTTGTAGGCGCGCGAGCTCTGAACACACAACAAAGATATATCACAAAAGCTGCAAATAGTCTAATGAGCCCATGGAGTGTATTGCAAAGATCTGGAGTGCCGTATAATGGTCTGGAAAGCCCTAGAAACACTTTCCAGCGTCATAGAAGGCTTTCCAGGGCATTCGTCGCCCTTTCAATAAAGCTTTCAAGGCCTCTTTTAGAGAATTAGAACCTTTCCCGAGCCATGGAGGTCTCTATCAGAGATTTATAAGCCCTTTCTAGAGCCAGGTTAACAAAGAAATGAAGGTTAATCCTATGCCATTGTGGTAAAAAAAATTTAAATGTTTTGCATTTCATGAGAGGGAATACATTGATACATAAATGTGGATTATATTGGATTGCTCTGAAGTTTCTTCATTTCCTTACAATTTTCAAAAATGTTGACGCTAAAATGCGGAACCCCTTTCAATGACTCATGCCATTCACTCCATTTCAAAAATTAAACAATTCGTGAAGCATAGAGATTGTCTTAAAGAAGGGACACGTTCAAAGTAAGTGTAAGCATTGTAAGGTATAAATACAATGGTGTAAGTCAAAGTCCCTACATTTGGAAAAATTAAACAGCATAAGGAAGTACGCGTTAACGAAGCGTCTGGGTGAAGCATCTGATGTATTTTGATAAAAATTTCAAATTCATGTACAACCCTCTCATTGGCCTGGCCATTTTCTTTAAAAAAGGACTTCAGACATTAAATAAAAATTTAGGTTCAAACTCAGAATTTGACTTTAAATAGTGTAGTCAGAGTGTGAGTACAAAATAAAATATAACTCGCTTATGCCTTCGTAACAGCCTCTCCAAACACCCCAATCCAAGCACAATGTTCAATTTTTTACATAATTCATATACCTAAATTCTGGCAACCATGGCTTTCAGATTAGTGATAAATTTTAGGTGGGTAAATACTTAAATTTTTTATGAGCATTGAATCTAATGAGTAGGTACAAGCAAAGAGTACCCATACTTTGGATACTCTTTGGTACAAGTTTGGAAATTCCAACCGATTTTCTTCAACATTAAATGAAACGCACTATACAAAGGAATAAGCACCCAGTTCAAAACAATCTACTTACTTGTAATATGGTAAAGTTTTCTAATACACTGTTCATCATGTACTTTTCAGGAAGATGCTTAAGTTTATGAATAAAGTTAATCATATATTCACACATCGGGCTCCTATGAATTCGGTAAATAAACCTTCCATTTTCATATCGAGCGTACTCTGTTTCTACTTTCTCAACCACCTGTTTTCCAAACGAACACACCTTCGTCGAACACGTTATAGTCATATTTTCATTGCTCTCGTATCTAAGGAAAATGAGGTGTAAAAGCTATTAAACAACAAAATTAAAATGATCTTACTGGCTCGTAACGCCATAAAATGCTCCCGCTTCATCTTGAATATTCGTATTAAGATCTGCCCAAAATTTTACTAGAAAGAATGCAGACTGAGGTCCCTTATCATATAATTCCTTCAAGCCTCCTTTCTTCTCTGGAAATTTGTCATAGATCTGCCTTACGTCAACAGCCTACAAAAAAATAAAGATATATTATCGAAAAATACGACATTAAGTATGTACAAACCTCTAATAACGGATCTGCATATGTTGCTGTGCCTCCTATGTGTACGAATAAGTGTTTGTGGTACTGTAATAGCGTTCAAATTAGCTCTTCACATAAAAGATTGTGACCTCACCGTGTTATCGGTATCTCTATGTTGTTCCATAAACGCGGAAAATTCTACAAGCCTAAGTTTATGAGTTGCGATCGCTCTTCCTTCCCACGGAGGTGGAGGTGGAGCTTGTAATGGTCCTACTTCACCTGATGATACAGCGGTTGCTGGTTTTCCAGGATATGGAGGTTGTTGAAAGGGTTTTACGCTAAGGAGAAGGAATAGTAATATAAACCAAACAAAGACTAGTAAGTTACTTACTCTTGAGATGTTCCCGGTTGCAATCCAGGTTGCCAAAATTGCTATAACGAAGAATAATTCGTGAAATTACAACAATACAAAAAGTTTAAGCAGAACATACACAATGTGCGCCCATTCAAAAACAAAAGCCCCATAAGCGGAAGAAAGCAATACAAAGGGGAGTGATGTATTATTAGCCGACAATACACAGCAAGTAAGCGCATCTGTTTAACTATATAGCAATTTTGTCACAAACTAATAACCGTTAGCATAGAAAGCAAACAAGCTTTATTCGGAAGGGCGAAGACACGGGACATGAGAACAGAGGCGAATGGGTAAGCAGGATTTGGCGGCAGGATTAACTTACCGGTCCGGGATAGGATGCGGGAGGAGTAATACCGAGACCAAGACCTGTAGACTTGCTGTGCATTGCCGTTGCAGACACAATCTGCGCACTTGACATGCTGGACATAGTTTGTAGTGCCTTCTCCTTGGTCGCATGATCCTACCAAACCACATACCGTCACCACCAAATATAACCCCAAGTTGCAATGTTAGATTTAACTTTTAATTAAATTTGTGGAATTATTTTGAACAAAAACTTTTTTAACCATACTCCCACAAATCGCTTTGTATTTCAACAATTATCAAACATACCTACTAAGAAACTGTTGTTGTTAATAATCAAAAAGACCATTTACCACTACTATCATACACGCATTAAAACACGCATCATCCTCATACACTCATAAATAAAGAATGCTTACAACTTTTAGCTTTGCTTGGATTTCTCTAAGTTTTCTCCTCGCCAGAACTTGTATGTGAGAACTAACTTGCTTTCGGGTTCGCGTTTTTCCAGTCCTAAGCTTAATATATCGGGCAATCAGTTCGTTTCTACCTGTAAAGAGAACCCACGTTAATTGAGGCATCTTCAACTTCCAGTAATCAATATTTACTATAATGATCTTTCAATGACAATTCTTCTATTTACACAAGTGAGGAACAAATCTCTGCATTTTATACAAACTAACAACGTTAAATTTCAGAAGCACTTCATATATCCTTAATCATAACTACTTAGATTAGTTTTGTATTTAAATTACAACACCTAACAATCCTGGAATAAATCAATTTAATTTTTTGAGATCAAGAATATTTTATGATACTTTCAAAAACTACACATTTCGGGAATTTATTTTCAGAATGTCTTTAGGTGGTCAGTACATATGCATTTCCGAAATAAAGACAAGCATCCAAGGCACCTCTCACAACCACTCAAAAAAACAGGCAGAAGATTGCACTGTTGCAATTTAATCGTGTTCTGTTCTTAGACCAAATATCAAAGGTTGGTTATTATTGGTAGAAAATAGAACGTTGTTACTAAAGCCGTTTGTCTACCGATCTGAATTGTTGTTTGTTAAAGTCTTTTTATATTGCCGCTTTGATATCATGTGTTAATAATGTAGCATGTAGCTGATCAGAGTAATATTACACAATATTCATTTTGCTGTAATTCTAATTGCTTGTTATTGATGGTTTTCAAACGGATTGCCAATTGTGCTACTTGTACAATGAAAACAATTTCTCTATGAACACATTGTCAATTCAAAGTAACCAAGTTTGAAAAATCTTAACAACATGACTGTTTTCGGTTCCTCATAACTACACCTGGTATATGGTTTATTCAATGCAATATACAATAGGTTTTTTTTTTATTACTCTGCAAGCTTTAGGCGATGTAGTAATTTGCGAAGGAGATCCAGATGACTTCATGCAATTATTGAAACTACCAAGTATGAAACAGTAGGTGGTGTTTTGATGATTAATATCTCATTTTGATTTGGCGTTCGTTTATGAAGACAGTCCCTTTAATTTTTTGTATAATTCAAATTTATATTTACACCACAATCGCAAATAGGGAAGATTATATGCAACTTCTTTTGTTTATACAGGGTTATTCAAACCTTCCAACTTTGAAGTGGAGAGATTATTAAGGGGACAAGTTTAAATAGGTACTAACATGACAAATCGTATAGGTATGCTATATCAAATCCAAAATATGTAGACAAGAAGATGACAAGAGATTGCTATATTTAAAATTTTATTGAATTACGACTCTGCATCCAGACAAATTTCAGTTCGCCTGACGATATTTGTCTGCACCCTATTCAAATTTCACCAACAATTTCGTAACCGTAACAATGTGGTCTAGTGGTGTGATAACGAAGGAACGTATATTGTGGTCGCAGGTGCGACGATTTAGATAGGAATTGTGGGTATTTTAACAAATTGATAAAGAAGTGGAAATGGACATAAAAAAGAGCGGGAAGAGTTGTTAAATACATGAAGACGTGTTTTAATTTAATTAATTCAATGCAGTCTATTTTGCCATAATTAATTCCATGGTTTCCAGAACCATATTCTCTAAGAAAACCTCCCAAAATGAATGCCTCCCGAAGAAAACTCGCTCTCGAGCTATCATGCGCAAAATTTTGGGAGCCAGTCTCCCTTTCTTCTTAGATATGAATATTACAGTGCGAGTTTTGTTGACAATAATGTTGCGGTGAAGAATATACCTGAGGAGACAGTGGAGCTTGAGGGGTTGAAGGTCTTACGTTGGGCCACAAAGAGGCATGAAATTAAATGCAATCCTGTAAATACGAGATGTAATAGGTGAGTAAAATACAGCGTGTTCGAGATAATAGGGTCACTTTAATATTTCGTTTATTTGGTGAAATTCGAAAAATGATCAAATTTAATTTTGTATGCAACTTCCCGATCTATCTGATGGCATATTGAAATTTTCGATATCACTTCCGGTTAAAACCGGAAATCGATTTTTGTTTTTCAAATACACTGCCCATTAGTTTCTTAGATCTTTGAATCAATTTGCTGTATGACAACATAAAATATGCATAGAGTCCGCTGAAAAAACCTCCGACAGAACCGAATTGTGGTGGAGGTCAAAGGTCAACATTTTCGTTTTCTTTGGATTTTTCTCAAAAATGTAAGCTTTATCAAACATTAGCTCAGACAAAAATTGTAGATAATAAAATTACAAAAAAAAAGGTACGTGCTTATACTTTTCTCTAAGAATCACCATTCTCAAGAATCTAAACGTTGAAGGATTTACATTCTAAATGATATCTTGATATGCACATCAGGCACACAAATGCCAGGTATATATGTACAGTCAGGCACTTAATATAAGTAAAAATGAAATTTAATTCAAAAAGAAATCTTAGTAGATTTCAAATAGATAAAGGACTGGAAACATAGAAGCGCAAACGGTCGGACTCCTTTTAAAATATGCCTATCTTCCAGAACACCAACGGGATATTATGCTACGCAGTTAAAAAAGGAACATTTTTACAAAATGTCAATTTAGTGATCAGTTTGGTACAAAGTTAAGTGAAACCTAAAGCATAGGAAGGGCCAATAGAGCAATACAAGTACGCTAGCAACTCCTAACAAAAAAAGAGCAGTTAAGTGAAGGTATGAATGGATGGAGAAAAAGACGGACAGAAATTGTTTCTTGAACGTCAATCTCTTCAACCATTCAGATTAATAGCATAATTTCCAGTGTATATTTAACAGAATACATGGGTAGAAGGAAACACAGACGAACGTACAGCGTACTTATACACTACTTATTACTAAGTGCTTGACTAGGTACGTTACGTGGCATTTGTGTGCCTATGCACATCATCTAGAATGGAAATCTTTTAACTTTTAGAACGACGATATCTTATGAATGGCAATTTTTACGAAAACCAGTATAAGGATCATTTTTCTAGATAACAATGACCGGACTAATAATTGCATATGGTGACATACACAAAAATTAAGAAATTCGGAATTCAATATTTAGAAACCATGAAATCTAGCAGGCCGTGTGCTGTCAGGATGCGCGGTGACTGTAATTGGACGAAAGCCTGTTGAGGGCCCAAAACAAGAGAGGGACAATAAATTTTACATTTAAAAAACAAAAGTTGCTTCCAATTCCTTTTTTTTCAAGATGTGTGAAGACAGGCGGATCATTTTCAATCAATTTGGTTTGATCGAATGCATAATTTAGGCGCAAATTAAGCGCAGTTTAGGTACATGACATTTTGCATCCTTAATAAAATAAAAATTAATGCCGCAACCTTTTGATTAATGAAGTTTTTCTTTTTAATTATGCGTCTCTTAGACCCAAGGGAATAAAATGTTGGGCTGTAATAGAAAATGGCTTGATGCAAATACCATTATCGTTTGCATTATCCCGGCCAACTTCACGTAGCCGCGGACTAAAATAAATGAAATTTCCCTTACGCAGAAATTAAGCCCTATTTATGCGCCTCTTGGCGTCTTTGTAATGAAGTGTAGCCCCCTAATGGAGGAGGTTATTACACAAACCATTTATCCATCGCATTATTACGGGCAATTAACGGCGGACAAAGGCCTATAATTTCTGCAAAAAGTGCAGATTACTCACGTTTGCGCTGACGTAAGGTTTGCACGCAAATTTGCTCAAATATGTACGGGGTGAGCGCAACAAGTTTACACGCATGAACGTGGGTCAGAGCAATCTAAGGCAGTCGGCACTTCAAAGTCACCAGACGCCACACTTTGATCGTTATATTCGCCTTCGTCATTATAACAGCTGACTATACCTAGGGACCCCAACTGTTTGGGTCTCTAAGACAATTTATTGTGGAACTTGCTAATCTGCCACTGATATACACAAAAATGAAATTCGAGCTCTTTCTAGTAGGACTTTTTGGATTTTATTTGTTTATATAAACATTCTTCTACATAATGGCAACTTTCAAACAAGGGTGGAAAAAAACTCCCCGGCTTAGGCTATACCTATGTGTTTTGAGTTGGTTACTTCGCAATCACATGTGGGTATTTTGGAAATTATATGTGGAAAACGAAAAAATCTCATGGAGCTTAGACGACTCCCAAAGTTCTGGAGTTCTTGTTAAGTCACATAAAAAAATCAATTTTCAAAATATGGGGTGCGAACGTCACGCAGCATTGCGTCAAAAGTGAACTTTTATTAAGTTATAGAAATGAAAAATTTGACTACGTAATCAAATGGTCACAAATATTGCTTCTTTCCTCCATTTTGAAAATTTGTATAAGTGACTTCCCCCCGGATTTAAAAGAGAAACAATTATCTTTAGGAAGAAGCACTTTATTACAATTAATGCTTTTAACACGAAGAGAAGTTGATTAAGACGCGAAATCAAGTATTTGGGATAAGTACAATATATCTGTGTATTCTTTTTAAGTTAATTGCAAAAGTTTGCTTGTTATTCCTTCACTTCCGACACGGGTCTTTTGTCTGTGCTAATTAATTGTAACTATCTTAGAAACTTTAGTTCTTTCATAATCAAATCTGCTTTCCGAGTATATAACAATTAATAAATACGCGCTGTTGTAATCAAGCATTTCTTTGTTTTAAACATATCTCCTCGCGATCAATTTCATTTACTCAACAAAGGGTGACAGTAAATTGGATACAAACGGAAAGTAGCGCTGCCGTGCGTCTAAATTGCTAGATTAGGTATATTTATGGAAAGGAACTGTATTTTCCAATCTCAGTGACCGCAAAAATGAGATGACCCCGGCTCAGGTAGGTACAGTAATTAAGTGAACGTAGGCCGTAATTACTAAACATTGCCATTAGCGATTTAAACAGAAGTGCGCGCCGCATAATCCGCGGAAAAACAGCGGCTGTAACATTCACTACAAACAACTCGTATGAAGAGTCTTCTGCGGTGCGGCAACCGTAATTAATGTGCTCTTCACGACCCAGCTTCCAGTTCTTGTTTATTTCATGCTGTTGAACGAGAGATGCTGGTAGACCATCGCAAGATAATGTATGGGATGAGAATAGTGTAACTTCAA